AGAGAGAGAGAGAGAGAGAGAGAGAGAGAGAGAGAGAGAGAGAGAGAAACACGCATGTGTGGTTAGCGGTGCAGGTGGCTGTGAAATGGAGGAATTGACAGTCAAAAATAAGCAGATTTGAGTTTCACTAGAAATTGGAAACAGCGCCACCTATTGGATAAAGGAAAAATATGTTGTACTTTGTTTTTCTCCCAGCAGGTTGACTAGATTGACCTCATATTGGCTTGAAATGCTGTTGCTGTGGCAACCCACAGTTCGACAACAACAACAACAACAAAAAATGCACATTTTGAGGGTCTAAACATGCACAAAAACTCATGACCTCATGCAACTGCAAAAACATCAGTCCGTGGTTGTACGTGTCACCAAGATTGAGGAAATTTTGGAGGTATATGTAACAGCTGGAGACCTACTAAAACATCTCAGAGCCATATGCTAAAGCAGGGGGTCCAGACTACGGTCCGGGGGCCATTTGCATCCCACCATCCATTTTCAGCGATCTGAGAAAACCCCATTAAAACAAAAGAAAAAAAAAGACATTTGACATGGGCCACAAGGTTCGTTAAAAAAGGTGAAAGGGGATAAAATTGCTCAGTTTTGCCTGACATTCAAACAATTTCATTTCATTTGATTGTAGATTCTTACACACTGTTCCGATCTGAGATCAGCATTATTTTTTTTAAAATTTAGGGGCAATTTTAACACAGTTAACCTAAAGGACCTCTGCTGGTAAATTGATTGTAAGACTGACTCCACATTTTTTTGTCCTTGCATGGAAGTTGACATTTGGCATTTCGATGGGAGCCTTGTCAAAAAGGTGACAATGCTGACAATTGTAGAATTGCATTGGACAGTGACAAAACATGGAGAAAGACGTACCTAGAGGGATAAGGTTGTTGTGAGAGACTGATGGACCACTGCCAATGACTGTACTAAGGTCATAAGCTCCAGGCATTCCTGGATGGGACGATAAGAAACACAGCAGTCACCAATATTAACAAAGAAAAATATCAATCGCATTACAGTCGAAAGAAAAAGCCTCAAACATTCGCACTGTCAAAAATTTATCATAACAGATACAATACCCAAAAATGTTAGGGTGATTTGGCTTTTGAGTGAGCTTGTAGGATGAACATAACACGCACGAAAAAAAAATCTTCGGGCTGCAACAATGAATCGATGAATCAATATCATTATCAGTTCATTGTGTGCTGGAATTAAGTCAGTCGCCGGCTACGTTGCGCCATGTATTCTGCTGTAGAATGCCGGGAGCAGAGTGTGTTGGAAGTAGAAACTTATGGCTAGAGCCATAACACAGAGTGGTTCAGAGAGTTTGAGCATTTCACTCTCCACAGCACGAAGTCACGAACGAGCGCACGTGTGCAGGTTGATAGCGATAGACAGCGATTAATTCTCCCAATAAGACGGAAAACATTGGAGCTTCAAGTTATTTGTCACTTCCTCATAGTTTACTGTAAAATGGACACAAAAGAAAAAAAGAGTTTAAAAATAAATAAATCAAAAAAACATCCACTAACTTAATGCTAATGTGCAGTCGTCTTGCACCAAATACTGGTACCAGTATCATACAAGAATTTTGGGGGGCAAAAATAATCCAATTCCATAATTTTCAAATACTGGTACTTTTGGGGGAAAAAATACAGCAAAGGTGCTCCAACTGTGTCATTATTGGTGCATGAAAGGGTGAAAGGCTCTCCAACTGAACTAACACCATTTGCTTTTTATGAAGGATGGTGTGTGCCCATTTTGAGCCGGCTTCCTCACTCGCGCCACTCACTAAAACGCCATGCTGAACCTGCTCGGTGCATTTTGGAAACAGAGAACGCATGCTAAACATTTCATCCATTGGTACATATGGAATTATAAATACTGTTTGGTACTGGTGTAAAGCATCATATGTATACAGCTGGTGGGGTCCAGAACTATCAAGTGATCGTTAGCTTAAAACACGGAAACATATTGTGTGTGAGAGTGGGCTGATCACTCTTTGACCACTCGTGCCATGTAACAGGAGTAAAGTGACATTTCTCACACTCAGCGAGATGAGGCGCATTCAAATGCAATCAGAAATTTGAACCCTTTAATGCACCCTCTAACTCGATAACATGGCCAGCTGTCCACTGTAGTAACTGCTGTCCCTTGAAGGGTTAAACGCAGACAGAAAAAAACCCAATGCCTTCAATGTTAGTAACTCGAAAAACATAAACAAAGTGGTCTTTCTATTGAAATATAAAAATACGGACATTCTGTGTATGATCACCCTTCAAAAAGGAGTTTTATCTCTTTTCTTGTGTATAACACAGGCCTAGATTCACTGGTATCTTTTGTTATCAGAGTGAATAATATGAATGAATAAAGATTCAAAGCATAAAAATACCATGCAAATGCTTTTAAATCCAAGTTCAAAACCAGGCTCTTTTCTCATACATATGATTAAGGTTATTCGAAACATTTTTTAAAACCATGTTTTCCATAATCATCGCAACCTATTACTATAATTACTAGTTTAAAAAAATGTTTGTCAAGTGCCCTGTCCTGCCTTGCATCCAGTCATTGTATGAAGCATTGAAATATTGTACTTGAGTCATGACATTATAAGGATACCATTGAGTGGGCATAAAAAAAATAACTACACTGAATGACGTTTTCAAGGCATGATGTATATTTTTTTTTCCAGAAATTCCACATCTTCGCACAGTACCTTCGGAAGGAGCAACAATCTTTACAATGTTAGGTGATTCTCATATGCAAACAGCCAACGACATGCCCTTGAGGGCAATGATTGTGAGCTAATGTGGCTAAACTGATGCACAACCATACGGACTATTTTTACTGCAGGATGCAAACGCAGATCACCGACTTAGTTTTCATCATGATACCATTGCTGACAAGAACATCAATGAGGTAAGTAACAAGGAGTAAAACGGAAGCAACTAAGCTCTGTACTGCTTCGACCGTGCTAGAAACAGTAAATTAAATATCCGATCATTGCCAGACAACTTTATATATTTTGTATAACATAAATTTGTATCAGACATTAAGTATGGATGTATGTGTGTTTTATTTCTTTTTTTATAACCTCAAGGTACAGATAAATGTCAACAAAATGCCCAAAACATTTTAAGGACCCTTGTACAATACTGGGGATAAATTTGAATTTTTGGGGGAAAATATTTGCAGATTAATCACAGCATCTTAGAGTATATCAAGAAAAAGAATGTTGGAGGTAAAATCGCTTTGCTAACTTAATTACAATCACGGGTCCACCCATTTATGTGATTGGGCATGCCAAACGTGCAGTATTCATTTATATTATATATGGCCTGAAGGCTTAAATCAGGGGTCGGCAACCCGCGGCTCCAGAACCCTAGTGGCTACCCGAAACTTTTTCAAAAATGTTTGAAAATGGAAAAAGATGGGGGAGGGAAATATATTTTTTGTTTTAATATGGTTTATGTCGGAAGAAAAACATGACACAAACATTCTTAACGTTTTCGAATGCTGTAAAAATGTGTAGAATAAAATGTAAATTTCAACATTTCCGTCAACGAAGATTTGCGTCATAGCCTGCGACATACGTTTCATTAGCAGGGAGGGATGCCAGTCAGGTGGCTGTTGCAAAAAAAAACAAAAAACAAAACGGCCTTTCAGGTACAATTCACCGAGGGTACTGGCAAAGAATGGGAGTCTGGAGGGCCGATAGAAGCATTTTAAAATGGTACACGTGAGCTACATAGTTAACAAGCTGCAAAAGTGTGTCGAATGCCTCCGCGTCTGGTCTCGACGAAGGTAGGTAGGCGTGTGTGTGTAAGTGCGTGCGTATGCGCGCGTGTGCGGTAACGGGTCGATCGATAGATACATACAGCGTGTGTTGCCTTCATTACAAGACTTATAGAAGGCTTTTGCTTTTTTGCGGCTTTAGACATATTTGTTGTTTGTATTTTTTGTCCAATATGGCTCCTTCAACATTTTGGGTTGCCGACCCCTCGCTTAAATAATCAAACATGTTTTGGTGCATTTTTGTAGAGCACTGGTTATAGATAAAACTACCAGCAGTGCGTAAAAAATGTGAAATGCTTTGTTCTTAAGTATTTAAAAATGTTTATTCATCTATCTATACATATTTTTCCATCTAAAGTAGGGATGGCTAGAGAGGCCAACTGGCCCCGTCATTTCTCGCAAACAATGAAGTGAATGGGTTATTAGGGGATAAGACCAAGGAAAAAAAAAAAGACAGATTTACCTCAGTATGTAAGCAATCTGACGCGTCACTCATATCAACTGGCGGGTCCAAGGGACACCGTGTCAACGACTTGAAGTCATATCCGTTCCCAACATAGTGCAGTATATTAAAATTAAACTGGGTAATTATTTTGTCAAATACAGGATGAGACACACAAATGGCAACACCAGATATTTATCAAACTTTACAATATTGCTCCTTTCTCCATCAATACTTCAAGATGGGCAGCTGGAGATGCACTTAAAATTCCTTTGAAGCTGTTTCTCTTTGGTTTTTAGAGCATTTGCTATGCCAGATTAAGCCATGCGGCTCAATTTATAATTGTTCTTCCAAATTCTTTTGAACGAATCTTTCAGTTTTCCACCAAAAATTGACTATTAATTCCCAATGAAACATAATTTAACAGATTCAAATTGTTCCTCTTTGCAATTTAAATCATTAAGCACATTCAATTCACATTGGGAACGATTTTCAACATGACCAAAAGTGCCACTTAGCAAAACATCCACAATTTACTCATTAAAACACACACGAACACACAATATTTAAAATAATGTTTTTGTTGTTTTTCTCCACTCATGTCTACAGTTTTTTGACCAATTCAAACGTTTCAACTTTAAACTGTTCAGCTCATCCCTACTGATGCCCAAAATTCCAAAAATTAAAAATTTTCCGCATTCCGCATCTTGGGACAGGCACGTTGGATACTGGCATATTGGAATTGGAATTTTTAGAAAATGAAAGAACCTCAAATTAACTAGTTTGAGAAAATATGAGCTCTATGAAAGGTCTAAAATGAGGCCAAAATGTGAAAGGAAATTAAAAATGGCGGATTACCTGTTGAGTAAAGAGTAGTTTTTCTAGATGTTGGGCTGTTACATATGCCTCCAACTTTTGGTACTGTATCTTGGTGAAATGTTCTACCGGAGCTGTTTTGTTAAAAATTGGGAGGGGGCGCAATGAAGCTATTTTTTTTAAAACTACAAATAGTGATTATTTGGCCAAGCATGGCGTATGAGGCAAGTTTCATGTTTTCACGAATGCTAAGACCAACAAACGTGAAAGAAAATTAAAAATGACAGACTTCCTGTTAACTTGAGCACTACAATAGCACCAGGAGACTTTGGGCGGTACACCTCCAAAATGTGATTGATTTTGATGACACGTACAACCAAGGCTGCTTTGCTAAAAATTTGTAGAGGGTGTTTTTGAGCCTTTAAAAGAAAAAGAAAAAGGCAAATACGAAGTTAATCTGGTTAACCCGCTGTGAGAAAAATATTCAAGAATAAAACATTTCAGAAAATAAACATATTTCCTTCAGGCAGTATGTGGCGCTACCACTATGATAGAAATAAAGTTGTAGATGTCTTCAGGCATGGACATTTCAAATGTGCCAAATCTTTCCAAGACATGATCATGTGGCTCAATTAACAGCAGCTTTTGTAGTTAAGGCGATGCCAACTTTTAAATTCAAAATGACGGCCTTCCTGTTGGATTTAGCATATGTCTCAAACGTGTACACTCCAATAATTTATTTTATTTTATTTATTTATTTATTTTTTATGAAAGAAAAAGGTCTTTTTCACAAAAGAGCGATGATATGGTAGAGTGGATATTGTCACACGGGACGCTTATGGGGGGCCACTCACATAGTGAGTAGGCCGTGGTTGCCCTGCACCCCAAATGACAAGCT